ACCATTTCCCAAGGGGATGGGCTTTGTGAATCTGAAGGAGAGCTGGTCCCTGTCTGACCACTGCACATGGAATCGTCTAGTCCACTGTCCGAGAAAATGCAAGCCCCCTTGTCGCTGGATAAGCTTTCATAGACTTGATGTGCTGGTAACAAACAACAAGAACAAAAGTAACTTTGAATTATGTGATCCCTACTCTCTTCCTACTTTACATTGACTGCAGACAGGTGCTTTGAAGGGATTCAGTTATTCAGAGCTTCACAAAAAGAAAATGCCGGGCACATTGTACACCTCTTGAAAACTGCTGGCATTGCAGATGTTTTGAGATGAAATCTAGACCTGGTCCTGTGTGATCTGGCACAATACAAAAATGTTGTATTCCAGAGAAGACATCGGCAATTATTGCCAGACGTTGTCATTGACAAATCTGAAGATTCAATGTTTACATTCTGTGCATTGGCAACTCCTGGGCTGAGGGCAAAGTTTTGTTGTTTAGAAGAGTGAAAATGATGTATTAGAAATTGCAATGAAATTCTATATGTGTACAAGTACACACACAATAGCAAGGAATTTCCTACATACCGGTACATGTGCATGTAATTACAATTCTCATTACACACTGATCCTCAGACTTACAGTCACTCAGCATGTACACCAAACTTACTTTCGAACAAGACGTTATTTGCAATATTTTTGAAACTGGCTTGAAATTTATTTTAGTTTCAAACACAAATCTGTATAAGAAATAAGATTGCTTGGCATCTACATGTAGGATCAGTCAAAGCTATTAATCAACATGCCACAGGTGACATGGTCTACATGCAACTTTGTTCACTACATACCGGTATACATTGTACCAAACCAGCATTACCTTACAAAATGTATGTGCATCAACACTATGATGAACAAGTGTATGTGAATGTATATGTATGTATAAAAGAAGAAACTGAATGTTAAACATTGTGTAAACACTTAGACATACATGTAGGTGTTTAGTCCCTGTACATGTACACAATACACTCCATCAAGTACGATACTCACCCAGTGTCAATTATGTATACCAACGAAACAGCAAAATTTCAAATTCACATTATACAGTTGTACATGCCAAGTACATATCTGTACACCATATAGTTTTACACGCTACTACATATGTAGGCATCAAGTTGAACAGTACTTCTCTGCACTACCAATCCAAATATTTCGCTACATGCATCAAGCAACTGACAGAAAAGTCTGGAGAAAACTACATTCAATCTCCGCTACACCGGTATGGCACTCAAACTGCAAGTGAAACTCACGTATGATAAAGCATGCTGAGCTTTATGAAAGTAACGCATATCAGCAGCTGCCCCAACAACATGCTCTAATAATATGCACTGCATGACTGCACATGAAAAGGCTGAACAATCAACACAATAATGGAACGAATAAAATCGACCCTAACAAAGTAGACAAACCCAACAATCACTGCTGGCCGTGGGTATTTGATCCACAGGTCACTCAGCTTACATGTGCATAATTATACACGTATGGATGATTCAAAGCCCTGTTTATGTTGACAAACTATTTTCCTTTCTGTGCCTTACTACGTGCGAGCTTTCCCAGAATTTACAATGTTCAATCAATACTATACAACCTTCAACTTCATCACTTGCACGACTGGGATGTTTTGTAAAATTTTGCAAGCATCAAATGTATCATCAAACGTGTAGATACTCAGAATTATAAAAATAATGTAGGCTGCACTTTAGTAATGAAAAGAACAAACCTAAAATCTTTTACAGTTTTTGTTTGTGATGAAGTAATTGATTCATGATCACTTGTCTGGAAAATCCATGTTGAATGTGGATAGGCTTCTTGGTTGTATTCCAATTTCAACAAAAATCTTGCAAATGAAAAATATCGTGCAAATTAAGAAAATAAATTATTTTAAAAAATGAGGTTTTAACCAAATAAATAGAACCCACATATAAACATGTACAGTGGAATGCCGCAGCTTTAACGAACATCGCGGGATCCACAGAAAATGTTCGTAATAGAGATCGTGCGGTATAGCGATTTTATGCTGCCGGTACTCCTGTACTCAATTTTCAATAAATGGCACCCTTCATAACTTCACCCTGCACGCCCTACACGTGCCGACTATTGAATTATGTAATTACACAGTTTTGAGCTTACTACCTACAATGATGGGTGGCTTTCCCCTTCTATTCCTTCGAGAAATAATAGCCACTTGTCGCTCTTCTGTTGACGGTTTTCAACAACAATGTTTGGTTGGTTTTGTACACAAAAATCGGGAGCCAAGGACGATGTTCGGTATAGCCGAATGTTCGGTATAGTGGTGTTCGGTATAGCAACGTTCCACTGTACTGAAGTTTAAATTAGAATTTCTCTGTTCATGTACTTTCTGCCCACTTTATATTAAAAATACTGCAAGAAACGTCCGTGATTTTTGGTATGCTGGTAGTATTTATACAGTCAGTTTAGTATAAATCACACTTTTCAGTGTACCTAACCAAAATCAACAATGACCTCATTTGACCCCTAGATGACCTTTGACCTCAAATGTCTTAAGTCATCTGAAGTCCCCCCACACAAATATTATTGTAACCAAGTTTCTGGTTGAGATTGAAGTCCGACTTTTCATATGACAGCTCTAAAGACTTTAACCTAACCAAAATGGAACACACTATACACAGACAAACACGGTCGTATCGGTATTCACACCGTTAATCATGGATGTCCTATTGTCCCTCTTTTGTTTGTACTTTTTAGGAAGACTCCCATAAGTTTTGTACACGACCCCAATCGCGGACGTATGCTGGGAATTTTGACAATATTGTTCTCTTTTGTTCTCCAGCATTTTTCGTCCGTGGTTTGAATGCCTGATTACGCCCACCAACACACACGTTTGTTTTACATACGTTATGTGGACATTCCTTTGTTTTCGTGTCGGTAAGAAAATTCGGTACAAAAAATAACTTTACTTAAACTGTGAAAACTCTTTCAACCTTATCAGGAAGACTCCCATAAGTTTTGTACACGACCCCAATCGCGGACGTATGCTGGGAATTGCGGACGATATTGTTCTCTTTTGTTCTCCAGCATTTTTTCATCCGTGGTTTGAATGCCTGATTACGCCCACCAACACACACGTTTGTTTTACATACGTTATGTGGACATTCCTTTGTTTTCGTGTAGGTAAGAAAACTCGGAAAAAAAAATAACTTTACTTAAACTGTGAAAACTCTTTCAACCCCAAATTTGTTTTGATTTCCTTGAATGTTTCTCTTCATTCTGCGACAGATAACCCAAACCCGAAAATGCCTCTAAACTTGTTTTCCAGAGAGGGCGAAACATTATGTGGACACGGCTTAGTCCACATAACGTCAACACAACCTGCATTATGTGGACATCTTTTGTTCACATGTCCACATAGTGACTGTAAGACAAACTCATACAAACAGGTTTGCTTATGGTGTAAATCGAGGATTTTCTATTGTTCCTCTTCCCTTTTCCTTTGTTTATACTCAAACCTTTTGCAATAGCTCTCATTGGTTTTGTACTTATTTCTAATCGAGGTCGTCCTCGATTTGGTTCCTGTCCTCAATTCATCGATGATGTTGCACGTGTGTGTCCTCGATTAAGGGAATAAATGTGTGCTTCGGAGGTTTTTATCACTCTGTTTAAGACCACTTAGAGTCTGGGTGCTGATAATTACCCGAGCCGGAGGCGAGGGTAATTATCAGCACCCAGACTCTAAGTGGTCTTAAACAGAGTGATAAATACCGACGGAGCACATATTTATTCCCATTCATAAATACCTTTTCGGTAAGAAAAAATCATATAATTCGTTCAAAACATCCCGATTTTGTTCAACAAATTCACTTTATGCTTTTTGAAACATCCCTCTTGCAAAATAATGGAGTGTTCAGCTGGCGAGTAAGATGTAAACAACCCTTTTATGGAGATTGACGCGCGCGTAACATGTTCTGCGCGATGTCGCGCAGAACGCACCTGGCGCGTTGCGTTTTGGATTTAGAACTTTAAAATTCTGACTCCCTGGTAGTGTTGCGCATGCCTACGTGAGGATTGTGAACGTTCAACCAATGAAACGATAAGAGGCACTGGATTTTTAGGAGTCCACATTTTATTGTGACACTGGAAAAGTGTTTAAGACCAGCTAGCCATGTCTTTATCATCCGTTTAAGACCGGCCACGTGACGGGCTCTCTACCAATAGGAATGCGTAAACTGTCTTAGGTATTTATGAATAACAAATTAAACACGCACAGACACACACATGTTTACGTTACATACCAAGTGTGAACATTCCCTTGGTTTCGTGTAGTTAAGAAAAACACTGTGTGGACTTGCCCACGTCCACACAACGTCGCCTCTACCTGGTTTATGTGGACCTCTTTTGTTCGGAAGTCCACACAGTGAATGTAATGCCTACCCACCGACACCCAGAAGGAATACACTTTCGCAATGTTCCCCTTTCTGGTTTAAAAGCCAGGGGGATAAAAACTGTGCACATATATGAGTTTTGTGGTTGTGGGTTTGATGGCTTGTATGATGAAGGGAATGTGCTTGACCAGTTTTAAACAAGTACCGGTACTTTATACTGGCTTGGTGTTCAAAACAAGTACAAAATTCCCCATTATCTAACGGATTTTGTTTAACAATTTTATTGTAGAACATGGCCTTGTCTAGTACCTCGTGCGCGTAGTGCTTAAAATCTCCTTTTATGGAGCACGCTCAGAGGGTACTGCGTGATGTGGCACAGATATTGATGAATGTTTGATGAAAATATGCATACCTTTTTGTACATTTATTTCTTCAAGTTCAAAATAAAAAGCCGTTTTGTGAATGTGGCTGTAGAATCTTACATAACGTGGCTCCACTCAACTGAATATTTGGGAAAAGTGTCTAAGAAAATAGAAATGTAGAAGAGCAAATTTTATTTTTAACGTAATCTTAAATACTGATAGCACCAACCTTGGTCTGTGGTGTCTTTTGATGAGTCCTGCTTGCCAGAACCCTTCCGATCCTTTCTGAAAGACACTCGCTGGAAAGTGAACCCAGAAATGGGTTCAAGGACACCATCTACCTCCGATGAATCAGTCACTGACACAGGCTCAGAGCCAGAGCTGTGTGGAAATAGGAAAGGACACAATCTTGACAAACTCTACTTGAAAAACAAATCACTGCAAACAATGTATAATGCAATAATCAACATCTAGATGCAAGGAAGCTTACACAGTACATAGACGAAGAAGTAAATAAAGAAACAAAGTAGGACACAAACATGGACAAAGGCAGGAATTATATGGTGAAGGAATGAGCAATTATACGAGAATACCATGGAATAAAGTGTGTGATAAGCAACTGTAACATACAAGCAAATTATCCTAAATACAAGCTCGCAAAGCGAAAATACATGTCCATAGAGATGAAAAACCAAACAACAAGAAGTACATGTATGTATTTGTATCTCTTACAGATGTGAATGATGCAAACTGACTCATGGATCCCTTGCATGAGTGGTTTGATAGGCAGACTGGAATGCGTGCTCACTTAAAAAAAAATGACTGAAATATATCTGTCATTTTTCAATGAAGGACATACTAATTCTATAAAAAAACCTGGTTTTCATATTTCAAGGACCACCAAATAACCATCTAAATGACTTAAAATGAACAGGTTATTAAGGGAATAACAGTGTGAGGAGCCGGTCTTCACTGCATCATAATGACCGGGTTTGGGGGTGACTGCTGTTAATGGACCGAGACGAAGTCGAGGTCCATTAACAGCGGTCACCCCCAAACCCGGTCATTATCACGCAGTGAAGACCGGATCCTCACACTGTTATTCCCATTAATAAATACCTTTTTAACGAAATAAACAGTTAAAATGCTCCAATTTTGTGACTTTTTTTCCGGCGATATTTCCAGAATTGTTTGTGTTCATGTTCATGGGCCATATTTTAGCTTATGCGTGGTACCCTGTCTCTTCAATAAGCGTTGTTATATACACCACAGCCGGGCCCAGGCTGCGCTGGACAATTGCAACGTCTTCATTGCGTACGCGTACGACTTCTGCTGCCGTAGCCAAACAAATTACAACAATGTTTTCATATTTTTACCTTATGGAGGAAGCTGAAATTTCGTTTACACATTCCTTGTGTCCAGAATTACAAATGTGCTTGGTTTAGGAAAGGTAAACATGTCGATGGGCAAAGTATTTACAGAAAATAAATCTTAGATCTACGCTTTCGTCGCAACATCCTCAGTATAGTGCACTGCCGCTGTACGATGTCGTTTCAAAACTTCCTTACGCGCGCACCCATAGCAACTGTGTTGCGTACGCGCGCGTCAGTCTCACGCGAAGGTGGTTGAGCGCATGTGCAGTGCTGTATTGTTACAAGCTGCCGTTTGACTGTTGTAAATTTGGCCAATCATTGCCTTCCATGGGGCTGGATCAATGCTGGTTCAGGGGCCATTTATTTGCTTGTTCTTTGAAGCCGGTCATTATCACCGTTAATGCCCGGCCACGTGATCGAGTCTCGACCAATCAGAAACCATCAACTCTCCAAGGTATTTATTAATATGCATTACTATAGTCTCCTACACACACACACACATGCATGTGTGTAAATGCCGGCAATTGTGGACGCCCCATTGTCCCTAATCCTCTTTCCTTTGTTTTTAGCGACAGCTCTCATTGGTTTTGTACACAATTTGAGATCGTGGACGTTCGGTCAATCATGGACGTATTGTTTGCGCCCCAATTTTTTTGTCCTACACACGTAGTGGCAATGTGAATGTGTTTATTTTCAGGCCTCACTTTCATTCCAATTCAGCCATACTCTACAAGGTGCGAATTAGAACAGTGTTGTTACACGAATGGTGGTGTTTAACATGTTTAAATAGAGTAAGGTAAAAGTACATGTATGTGTGAGAAAGATGTATGGATATATGTACGCATTAGGTACAGAGTGATTCACATGTATGTGTGTACTAGGAGTGATTCAAAGCAGCTTAGAGGCATTTGCATCATTATTTTGTGATAGTATAGTGCAAGTTTGAATAACACATACATGTAGGCACACATACATTTGTACCTGTACATGTATGTTGACAAAATATTAAGTCACCTAGTTGGCTGGTTCGAATCTGATGTACAATTTAGCAGCGGGTACCGCATAAACTATTATAAGATGGAATTTTGCGTCGGGGTGATTTAAATCAAATTAGTTTGCCCTTTACCGACGTATAAACGCAAGAAGGGCAAACCTAATTTGATTTATATCACCCGACGCAAAATTCCATCTAATAGATTTTTCGCTGTTTCATCTTTGGCTTTAGGCGATTTCTTATAAAGCTCTTGGATTCGAACGCTGGCTAAACTTATGGCCTCCTTTTATAAATTTTGTTATAGGCCTATAGTGTTCAAATATTCGTGACTCGAATTGACTCGAGCTAAATATTTGACTCGACTCGACTCGACTCGACCTTTCGACCTAATGACTCGACTCGACTCGAGTCACTTCTTTAAAATGACTCGACTCGACTCGAGTCACAAAAATCAGTAACTCGTTACAACTCTGATCACCTTCAAGATTTAGCAAGTGTAATTGTGTGGGGAAATGAGTCACAATCATGACAATGGTTGCGTACACCATGTACATAATGTGTGGTCCATTGCAACTTCGCCCCATTACAACTTCGCCCCGCTGCAACTTTGCCCAGCTGAAACTTTGCCCAGCTGAAACTTTGCCCCGCTGAAACTTCGCCTCATTGCAACTTTCAGTTGATAGTGTTCAACACCATTTTTATATTTGCATAATTTTTTTTAAAATTTTCACAAAATTCACTATTCATGGCATTTACTTTTCTTACCTCAAAAATAAATAAACTATCTCATGCTCTACCTAATTTTTTTCTCACAACGTTGTTCAATAAAATCTCGCAAGATACTCGTTGAAATGAGAATAGGGGCAATTCCATGGTAACTCAGCTGTGTTGTTATTCTATAAAGTCAAAGAATTGACAATGTTGGGTGGATTTTTCTTACAGAAATCCCTTTATATTTAGTGTCTAAATTACAAAATGAGGCCAACAAAATAAACCTCTGTTGGTTTGGCAATAATTCTTATCAGTAACTCACGTTACAAGAAAAGGACATTTGTAATACCCTGCATTTGAAAATCTCCTCAAAACTGTGCACTGATGGAATTTTGTTTAGTGCTCTTACATCGTTACACTCTTTCAGCACAAAATATGATTTTTTTTTGCATTTTGCATGTAAAAACAAGATGCAAAAATGACTACGTGAATCCATAATTTTAGCCAAACCTCCCCTCCTTTGTTTTGGACAAAAAAATTCACTTAAACATATCCTATCTCATTTCCAAATTACTCAAATGAAAGCTCATGTTTTCCCGTTTAATCTGATACCACATTTGAGGTTGCAATGCTTGTAGTTTTTAAGATTTCCTAAATTTTCCATTTTTTTTTTAAAGCCATGTCCACGTTCTCATGGAATTACCCATAAAGTATCATGGGCTAAAATGTCCGCTGCACCGCTAGAAGTGTCTCTCTGGCTACTGAATCTTTGTATGAAAAGTCACACCCACATTCACACAAGTCTCCAATTCAGAAGTACAACATTAAACAAACTTGTACATGTACCGTAATTTTCGGAATATAAGCCGCGCGGCGTATAAGCCGCAGCACGCAAAAATCTGCAAATTAAGATTTGAAGTCGGCGTATAAGCCGCACCGGCGTATAAGCCGCACCAACCGCAGCAGTTCAATTTTGTAAGGCCTCCAAATTCTAGTCAAAATGCTCTGAACCAGTTCCATTTGCACTACGAAAGCTATAAAAGGGCCACAAATGTTATGTCAAATCATTTACAGTCGATTACTCTTACAAACAAATATGGAAATTGATGATAAGAAATAAAAAACGGGAATTGCTGCCGGCTGGCTAGTCAGTGAGCCTGTGCCGGCGAATGACATTATTTTCCCCCAGCACTTGAGAGAGTATGCAACCCACCATGTGTTGTCTGACTGGAGCGCTACAAATCCTGCTTTGTGGCAACAGCCCCTGAGTTGTTTTGTCCTAAAGGATAAACAAGTCCGTTTTTACAGCAAAACTTATCAAATTGTTGTGATTACTAACAAGTAGTAACGTCAAAACTTCAAGTTTGGATCGTAACTTTCTTCGAAAACAATCAACACGATGCTGAGATTTTTATGGACGAATCCATTAATTTTGTAGGGGTGGTTTCACCCCTGTTTTGAGTTTTACATCGTTTTTTGAATACATTTCAAGAAAAAAAAATATATTGTGACGTTGAACAACTGATTATCAAATAAAGATATGTTTCAAACTCCATAAAAAGTATTAGTTGTCTTTTTCCTTTTTTTAAACTGGGGAAATATTGGTAATTATTGTTCCCAAGAAAGTGCACCCCTTTATTACCACAAATGGTGTGGTCCATGGGGAATCCCTGCAGCATGCATGCAGCATACATGTAGGCAGCATCACGTACGGCCGGTTGTCGATGTCCAAGGGACAGCTTTCACTAGCCGTACTTTTTACCGCTCGGTACCTTTTTGTGGGATGTGCTTTCGGTTTGTTAATGACTTTCTTAATTGATAATTATTTCAGCAACACATCTCTTCTTGTACCAGTACATTAAATACACATGTAAATGTCATTTTTATTCTTCAAGTCTCGGCGTATAAGCCGCCCTGTGTATAAGCCGCAGTAAACATTTTCATGGGCAAATTCAACGTATAAGCCGCGGCTTATATTCCGAAAATTACGGTAGTTGTCTTTATGTGTTTGCATCTTATTGCAAGCACCTTTTGGCAACAGGAAGGCTAATTGAAATATGCAACATGCTGGAATCTCTTTCTGTTTCTGTTCCGAGATGCACAAACACCCAGAATGTTGTCACGGTACGTTGTCGCTACCAACAGTGAGTTCATTGTGAACGCTGTTCACAAACATGACAAAGACTTGGTATAAAATGTCAGCCACAATAAGCTCATGCCTACCGGTATGTTTTGCACTTGGCAAATAATATACATTGTGAAATGGCAATCAAATCTTGCTTTAAATGACGGCTACATGTCCT